TGTCCATTTGTCATCCATCCTTCCACATCCATCCATCCATCATCCATTCATATTAATCCATCCATCATTCACCCATCATCTACTCATCTGTCTTCAATCATCCATCCATCATCATCCATCCATCCATCCTCCATCCATCATCTATCCATCATTCATCCATCATTCATTCATCCATCCATCTTCCATCCATCCATCATCTCTCCATCTTCCCTCCATCATCCCTCCATCCATGAACCAAGGTTCCACACGGTACATTTTTGTGGTAACTGGTGTTCTTTTCTATTGATAAATTATTCTCTTTTATTTTTATAGTAAAAATTAAAAAGTTTGCAGCTTCTCAAAATGTTTTTCTTCAATAAATCTTTTAATTTTTGCCCGGTCTTCCTGATGGAGCTTTTTTAAAACCATTTTCCTGTTTGAACATCATGAACGGCTGTCAGATAATGGACAGTTTGACAGCAGCTCTGATTGGCTGATGAGTCCAGTTGACAGATATTTATTTAACTCTGATTAAAACCTCTCGGTTCCTCAGGCTCTGCTCCGTTTCTCACGTTTAAAGGCCACGTTAGAGAAACTTTACACCCGGGTCGGTCCAGTCCTGTCATCATGTTCACCTCAGAGTGGAAACAGGAGAGTTCTCCTCAGGGTGTTGGATGTTCAGACAAGGGAACATTTATCTAAGAGGGTCAGAGGTTCTGATGAGGGAACATTCACCTCGAAGTGTATGAGTTTCTGATGTTCCTGAACAAGTTCTCTGGGTTTTAAAATCAAATCCAGTAAAGATCCAGTATAGTGAAGGTCAGCTGAAGGTCAGAATCGTTTGTAAACCGTGAACTCAGACGTGTCTTCTGTCCTCAACAGTGGAGTCCAACAGTCCCAGTCTCCTGTCGCCTGATAATTCTCTGGAACGTTCCTTCTTCATCCGGATGAAGTCTACGCTCACCAAGAGAGGAGTGCACATCAAGTCCTCAGGATATAAAGTGAGTGGAAGACAAAAACCAGAACACAAAACTCTGTGTGGTTTTTAAGCAGTGGCTTTGTGTTTGTTACATTTCTGGAGTTCTGGACCCAACAGTTAGTCGGTCTGTCCTGGTCCTCAAAGCAAAAACTGGTAAAACTCTGGTGAAAATTAAAAAAACTGGAGAAAAGTTGATTAAATAAAAAGTGCTTTCCTGCTTCAGCGTTTATAAAACACAAACCATCTTCAGGACTTCAACAAAACCTTTTTTGGGTCTCCAGGTGATCCACGTCACCGGTTGTCTGCGGATCCGGATGGCTCTGACCCACAGCCGCTCGGTGCCCAATCAGATCATGGGGATGGTGGTGGTGGCCCACGCCCTGCCGCCACCCACCATCAACGAGGTCCGCATCGACTGTCAGATGTTTGTGACCAGAGTCAACATGGACCTGAAAATCGTGTACTGCGAGAACAGGTGGGCGACACGGGGCCGCGCGTTGTCACAAACACATTTTAGTTTTAAAAAACTTTAACTTTAGTTTGGTAAGTTAAATTACTTTCAGCTTCATTTAGCTTGTAGCTACTGCTTTGTTACTTTTAGCTTCAATTAGCTTTTAGCTACAGTTTTATTTTCAGCTTTAATTAGCTTTTAGCTACAGTTAGCTTTTACCTACAGCTTTACTTTCAGCTTCAATTAGCTTTTAGCTACAGTTTTGTTACTTTTAGCTTAATTTAGCTTGTAGCTATTTTTGTTAGTTTTTGCTTCCTTTAGCTTGTAGCTACTGTTTTGTCACTTTTTTTGCCTGAATTAGTTTTTAGCTGCAGTTATGTTATTTTTAACTTCATTTAGCTTTAAGCTACAGTTTTACTTTCAGCTTCAGTTAGCTTTTAGCTACAGTTTTGTTACTTTCAGCTTCAATTAGGTTTTAGTTAGTTTTGTTACTTTCAGCTTCATTTAGCTTGTAGCTATTTTGTTACTTTTAGCTTCCTTTAGCTTGTAGCTACTGTTTTGTCACTTTTTCCTGAATTAGATTTTAGCTAGTTATTTTTAGCTTCATTTAGCTTTAAGCTACAGTTTTACTTTCAGTTTCAATTAGCTTTTAGCTACAGTTTTGTTACTTTTAGCTTCATTTAGCTTTTAGCTACAGTTTTGTTACTTTCAACTTCTATTAGCTTAGCTACAGTTTTGTTACGTTTAGCTTAATTTAGCTTTTAGCTACTGTTTTAGCTTTTAGTTGCTGTTATTTTCAGCTTAACAATCTATTTTCTCCATTTTAGCTACCATTTTGTTTCTTTTGGCTTTTAGCTACCATCTAGCTGAATTTAGTTTATAGCAACAGTTTAACAAATATTAGTGATAAATTTGCTAATTTATGCAACCATTTATCTACGTTTAGCTTCTGTTTAATACTAGCATCTGTTTTACTAATTTTAGCTGCTTCTTTGCTACTTTGTTTTTTGCTTCATTTAGCTTTTAGCAATATTTTTGCTAGTTTAAGCTTTTAGTTATTGTGTTGCCAATTTTAGTCCAACAATCTGTTTTTCTAAGTTCAGATCCTGTTTTGTTGATTTTACCTAAAATTTTACTTCTGTTGGGTTTTAGCGACCATCACGCTCATTTTAGTCTTAGCAACAGTTCTGATACTTTTAGCTTTTGTTTTGCTGTTACTTGCTTCATTGTTGCTCGTTTTAGCTACAGTTTTAAAAAGTTTGGCATCCATTTAGCTTGTTTTATCTCCTTTTTGGACGTTTTAGCATCTGTTTAGCGTATTTTAGCTTTACAATCTGTTTTAGTAAGTTCAGTTCTGTTCTTTAACTTGTAGTTATTAGCTGTTTTGTTTTTAGCTTTTAGCTCTTGCTCTGCTTATTTTAGCTTCCACTATGCCTATTTTAGCTTATGCTATGCTCATTTTAGCTCCTACTTGGCTTATTTTAGCAACGGTTATACATATTTTAGCTCCTTCTCTGCTTATTTAACTCCTGCTCTGTTTATTTTAGCTCTAGTTCTGCTTGTTTTACCTTAGTTTCAGCTTCCTCACCATATTTCAGCATGCTCCTGTGTTTTGGCAGAAACTGTTACTCCTCCAGTGTTTCCAAATTAATTTTTTTGTATTTTCTATCTGTAAAAATGTTTTTATTTTTAACGTTGACTGTGTTTGTGTTTCCCATCTCCTTCCTCACGTCCTCAATTTGTAAAACACGAAGCTTCCTTTGAGCGTTCGACCTGCCGTTTGTGTATTCCTGCTCCGTAGTCGTCGTCTTTTTCCTGATCTGAGCTTTTTATTCATGAGGAGTGTGACCCGATCCTCCCGGTTTAACGCTGAAACGCGTCTCTGATGGCTCCGTCTCCTCCTCGTGTCCAGATAACGCAGATAGGCAGCAGGAGTTAACTGGCTGACTGCAGAGATTCATATCGGGCTACCTCCAAATCAAAAAAGAATCCCGCCTTCATGTTTTATAATAAAACGAGGGGGACATGATGGTGGACAGATTGCTTTTTGTGTCTGGAGGAGACGGAGGCAGATGATGCTTCTGGGCGTGGAGCGACAGAAATCGTCTCGGCAGTAAAGTGGCGAGTCGCTCCCATTACGCCTCCATTTGGAGGAGGACTTTAGAGGAGAATGAGAAAGTGGGAGGAATTGTTTCTCCTCAAGAACATAGTGTGCTGTTATCAGCTGTTGGACATTAGTGTCCCCAACCGTCCTCCTTCCCACTGAGACAGGAAACTGTCCTGTCCTCCTGTGGTGTCCAAAGGAAACTTCTGGAGACAAGTTTTACAAGAAACAGCTGAAAGACAAGTGCTGCTGTCTGTGCTGGGCTTTAGCTTATTCACCTGTTGCTCGTTCACCTTTAGCTTGTTCATCTTCAGCTCGTTCACCTGTTGCTCGTTCATTTTTAGCTTGTTCATCTTTAGCTCGTTCACCTGTAGCTCGTTCACCTTTAGCTCGTTTACTTGTAGTTCGTTCACCTGTAGCTTGTTCACCTTTAGCTCGTTCACCTGTAGCTTGTTCACCTGTAGCTCGTTCACCTGTAGCTTGTTCACCTTTAGCTTGTTCACCTGTAGCTCGTTCACCTTTAGCTTGTTCATCTTTAGCTCGTTCACTTTTAGCTTGTTCATCTTTATCTTATTCACCTGTTGCTCGTTCATTTGTAGCTCGTTCATCTTTAGCTTGTTCATCTTTAGCTCGTTCACCTGTGGCTCGTTCACTTTTAGCTTGTTCATCTTTATCTTATTCACCTGTTGCTCGTTCATTTGTAGCTCATTCACCTTTAGCTTGTTCACATTTCGCTCGTTTGCCTTTAGCTCGTTCACTTTTATCTTGTTCGTCTTTAGCTCGTTCACTTTTATCTTGTTCGTCTTTAGCTTGTTCACCTTTAGTTCGTTCACCTGTAGCTCGTTCACCTGTAGCTCGTTCACCTGTAGCTCGTTCACTGAGGTGGTCTTACAGGACCACGTGTGAAGGACTCTCAGCTACTACCACACCACACTTGAGCTCGGTGTCTGTAAACCTGGGCGCTCCTGAGCAGGTTCTGTTTGTAACTCGGCTGCAGGAGTTCTGTTTAGTCACCGTTCAGTTTACTAATGAAGGTTCTGTGACTCCACGGTGCTCTTTGTCCTCACACTGATGTCCATGTGTCCACTGCGTCTCAGGATCAACGACTACATGGACCTGACTCCGGTGGACATCGTGGGGAAGAGGTGCTACCAGTTGATCCACGCTGAAGATGTGGAGGGGATCAGACAGAGCCACCTGGACTGTGAGTACCGGCACCGCTCCTGCACCTCTGGAACCTTAAAACCCTTTGAAAGATTATCGATCATTCATGATCAACTCATTGATCTGAAGTGAATCAGCTCATCAGAACCGTGTTGACGCTGACGTCGATGCTTGTTGGACAATATTTATCATTCCAATAAGGTGGTCGCCACCACCAAGAAGACAGATGTTGATGCTGTCAGCCAGCAGAAACATCTGGTCAAAGGTGAAACAGCAGCTCTGGTTCTGGGACCGGGTAACCGCAGACGTGGTACCAGCTCAGCCTCATGTTAGCAGAGCTGCATCCTGGTGAGGTCTGAGAGTGTGGGGCTTTGTTTGGGGCCTGGATAAGGTGTGTGGCTGGTGCTGAGACGGGACCGTGCTCCAGCCCAGTTCTGACGGGCCCTGCAGGTCACACTGGGTCAGGCTGTTTGGATCGTATCAAAACAGAAACACAGCTTTAAAAAAACAAAACGACACTCGGAGGCTTTGCTTTAAAATGTTTCCTCACTGCAGCAACTGCACAGTTTTATTATCACGGTCATCACACACACACACACGTGAGCGCGCGCGTGTGTGTGTGTGTGTGTGTGTGTGTGTGTGTGTGTGTGTGTGTGTGTGTGTGTGTGTGT